AGTTCGATGGATTTTTGAAATGTAATGGTATTCAGAGAAGATTAACATGTAGCGGAACGCCTCAACAAAACGGAGTGGCCGAACGGATGAATCGTACATTAAACGACATGGCAAGATGTTTGCTCATTGAAGCAAATCTTCCTCAAACGTTTTGGGCAGAAGCAGTTGCAACAGCAGCTCATGTTAGGAATAGATGCCCATCAGATGCAATCGATGGTGTATTACCATATCATAGATGGTACAGGAAAATTCCAAATGTTTCATATCTAAAAAAGTTTGGTTGTAAAGGTTTTATCCTAGACAAGACAAATGACAAGTTTCAATCAAGAGCAAAAGAAGGGATATTTGTTGGTTACTCAGATGTATCAAAGGGCTGCAGGATGTGGTTTCCCGAAGATAGGAAAATCATTACAACTCGAGATGTAGTTTTTGACACATCTTCCTTTCCACATGTCGATGCAAATCATACTAATTCAAGCTTTAGGGTATTGCCTGTAAACAGTTTACTCCAAAGACATGAAAAGGTCGAAGAAAATCAAAGACGTGTTCAAGTTGATCAACCAAAAGGTACTGATGAGAAAAATGTACTTGATGATAGGCAAACATCAACAAATGAAACTAAAGAACATATGTCAAATGAAATGGAAGAGATTGAACATGACGAGCCATATATGATTGATGGTGATAATAATGGAGATGATCATCAGAATAATGATATTAACGATATTAACTTGAAAGTAAGAAAATCTGAAAGAAAAACAAAAGGTGTTCCTCCTAACAGACTATCATTAATAGCTCAAGGAAATGTGATTGAACCAAAATCTTGGAATCAATTGGAGAAATTGCCTGAACCTGAGAAAAAACAATGGGTTGTAGCAGCTCAAGAAGAAATGGAAGCATTATTAAAAAATGATACATGGGAGCTTGTAGATTTACCTCCACAGAAAACAGCAGTTGGATGTAAATGGATATTTAAAGCAAAGTATGGAGATGACGGTATGGTTGAGCGCTATAAGGCACGTTTAGTAGCCAAAGGTTACTCACAGAAATATGGAGAAGACTATGATGAAATATTTGCTCCAGTTGTTAATTCAACAACAGTAAGAATTTTACTAACCATAGCAGCGACAAAAGATCTGACTGTGCATCATTTTGATGTAAAAACAGCCTTTTTTAATGGAAAGTTAGAAGAAGAAATATATATGCAACAGGCCGAAGGTTTCGTGAAATCTGATAATGAAGATAAAGTTTATAAATTAAAGAAATCAATTTATGGGCTAAAACAAGCAGCTCGGGCCTGGAATGAAACACTGAATACAACAATGGTGAGCATGGGATTTGAAAAAAGCAATTCTGACCCTTGTTTATATACAAGTAATACTGATGGAAATTATACATATGTAGTGGTTCATGTTGATGACATTTTGTGTGTTGGATCAATTGAAAATGTCAAGAAAACATTTCAAAAACTGACACAATGCTTTGAAATGAAAGACTTAGGAGTTGTTCACAACTACTTAGGAGTTGAAATTGATAAGATGGATGGAGACTTTTACATTCACCAAAGAAGAAAAATAAATAAAGTCATAAATGAACATGGGCTGGAAAACAGTAAACCAGCAAGAACACCAATGGAAGTTGGATTTATCAACTCAACAGCTATGTCACCAGATCTGCCGGATAACAAAATGTACAGGAAGGCAATAGGATCACTTCTTTATCTTGCTGTGACATCAAGACCGGATATTTTGTCAGCTGTTGGAATTCTAGCTAGAAGAGTTGAAAAACCCACCCAAAGTGATTGGAATGCTGTAAAGCGAATAATAAGATATCTGAAAAGTACCATTGACAAGAAATTAAAATTAGGGGTGGAAAAAGAATTGAAATTGTCATGCTATGTGGATGCTGATTGGGGGGGGGGGGGTGATTTCTCAGATAGAAAATCAATCAGCGGAATGATGTACAAGTTAGGAAACAGCACTATAAACTGGATTAGCAAAAAACAGACCAATGTCACTCTTTCTTCAACAGAAGCTGAATTCTTGGCCGCAAGCTTAGCCACTCAAGAAGTAGTGTGGTTAAGACTATTGTTGAAAGATATGGGCTTCCCCCAAGAAAATCCTACAGTAATATTTGAAGACAATCAGAGCTGTATCAAGTTTATTGAAAATGAAAAGATGAGTGCTAGAATAAAACATTTAGATATTCGAAAACATTACATCCGAGAAATGATAAATAAGAACGAAGTATTTCTGGAATACTGTCCATTGTGTGAGTGTTATTAAAGAATAGTTGATTCAATTTTAACAAATACACTGTATTTATGTGTTTCATGAAAATAATTATTCTCGATTCTTGATATCATAATTTAATAACAAAAAAATGAAAAACATTAAAAACTCAAACTATGGTTGTTTTTCAAATAACCCAGGAAAAGGGCTAATTGACACTTATAATATTCGTGCAATGTAACCATGTTTCGAAACGCTAACTATTGAACAACCAGGCCAAACAGTTTCTTAACAATATTTTGCTGTCTAACTTGTTGTTTTATGAACAATTAAAATTTGTCTGATTAGCTTAGACTAAGATGGTACATGACTGTTTTTAAACGTAAGCTAATTTTAAAAACTATTATTAACTTTTAAAATTAACATCTAAAACTAATTGTATTTTGTGTAAGTTGCCAATTAGTTGCAGATATCTTAAACATATATTCCCTTACATACCATACATAAACAATAAAATGGTAAAATATTTTCCATGTTATAATTCCGTTATTCCGTTATCCATAAATTGATTTGCCCTGGAATCGTTCGCGAGCAATATATTACAGTCTGTCGGATATCGAAATGTACTCCCTGCCTTTTCAAACGACTGCAAGCAAATCAATCTAATTTTTCAATATAATTTAAATTATATTCAGTTTTATTTAGGAAAGCGTGCAATTACTTTAACTTTTATCTTTGAAATCATATTAATTGAAAACAAAGAGAAAATAAAGTAAATTATTTTGAACAATACTAATCCACATAATTAAGTAAGACATTTTTGTAATATAAAAAAATAATTATTGAACCATAACGAAATAAAGTGATAAAACAACAGTGTTTATAATTGGTTAACTTATGATAAAGCACATAGTTTGTAATCTTTATCTTTCTTAGAACCTACACATTTTAGTTCATAAACAATTACAAAAGTAGGAAGACATCTTCTAATCTCATATTACACAAGTATTTTGAGATCGTTAATAACTATTCAGGTGGCTGTTTGAAGTTACAAAATTAACATTGATCTTACGGCGGGCAAATACAAGATAGCTATTAGCCTCCATGGACTCCCTTGGAAAACAATTACAAAGCTAAAATAGTTATTTGTGTAATTACTGTATATTTTTCCTACAGTTACTAAAGAATATAAATAATTAATTTGTCTTTCATACTGTACAACACTGTACAACACGTGTTTAGATTAGGTTAAATCCAAAATTTGAACGAAATGGGAAACGCTGCTCAAGCTGATCGTAGTCGTAGTATCTATATAAGCGTTGCCAACCTCTTTCCAAGCGCATACGGATTACGTGCATAATAAAAGCACGTTTTTTGTGTGTTGTTTGGTTGGAATACTGGTGTGCGACAAAGTCAAAACTGTGTGACAAAGTAAACAGTGTGCGCCAAAGTAACAAAATGCAGCAATGCAGCAATGTAGCTTTCTGTACTATAATCACTGCTAGGAAGTCCACTTTGTCGGGTGACTGTAGGAAAAGCAATTTATGATCTCAAATTGTAATATATATTTAAATTACAATTACTTTGGTATTTGAAAAACTATTTTTGGATGTTAAATAACCCTTCAACAGCTGTATGAAATAGTCCATGATGGCCGCTAGCCCCAAAGGACTCTTAATGGACACCCTAAAGAAAGAAAAGTGTACGTTGATGCTAGGCATACTTTTAAAAAAGGTTCTACGTATTTATGATGTAGTAATGAGCACAGCCCGTAAATCTATTATGTCCAGGCGCCTAGACGGTTGGCAAACCCCCAAATGCCAAAACTATGACAGCGTTGGCTGGTCAATCCACCTTTTAGGCAGCCATCCAACAGTTGCATAGCCAACGTCCCGTCTCTATGTATCCACTATAACTTATTTTATCCTCTCTGATGGGTTTGAAATTGTTATAGCGTTTTCTAGGCCCGATACACCTAAGACATCTGGCAAGGTGCGTCGTCCTTAAAAAATTCCAGCTACTTGGAGGGCACGAATTACGGATATTATTAGGCATGCATTGTGGATACGATACTCCATGGTGTGGAACACCTGAACTAGTGAGTACTACGACTATCCGCAGTAATATCCTAAAAATTAGACCAATTCGTTAATAATTACAAGGTAAAATTGAGATTTGGATTCCACTATAAACTGTAGTCTGTTCCTTAGTTGCCATTGGCTTTAGTACCTATTAATTAATTAACAGGTGTGTCTAAGGGACATGACGGTCTTAGTCACTAACAAGACTACAAAATCGTGCCACTCATCCTACACGCATCTCTATTCATCGAATAGAGTTTTCGGCTTGACAATAGCTTCATGATTGATCTACAAAAGGCCTGTCTAAGTCTTTCACATTTTAAATGTTGCTAGAATAATTATTCGGTCATTTATAAGGTTATTATCAAACGTCTGTGTTGGGTAGGGTTTCGAAAACGTTTCCTAGTATACATTTTCTATTTCAAGATAGCCAGTGAATACATTTGCTAGCCATTCAGAATACATAGATGTAGAGTTTACCAATCAGAGGAAACAAAACATTATCTCTGACTTATAAAATGTATAACGATTTCAACATTAAATTATTAGAATCAAAACACTTCCGCAATAACTATATTAATTTTGTGCTTTGTTTAAACTTGTTTACGTTTAGGTTGATGATTGTCTATTTTCTCTAAGTGTTGTTGAGAAATAGCAAACAAAAGTACATTATATATGTATTTTTCAGGAACCAAGATGAAGGAGCACGCACAGGAAACACAAGGTAAGAGTTTCGTATAAGTTACAAGTAGTGTTGGAGTTGAAACGATAATGTAATTTGTTTTAAATAGTAAATTTCAATAGGTAAACAATCAATTGCACTATAAAAATAAATTTCATGCTAAGTTAATCTGGACGGATATAAATACAGATAGTTTTCACCCACACATTATTTTAATAACCATTAAATTCTTTTATAACTTTATCTATGATAAAACGTAGCTTAATTGATTCGTTCAATGTATTTTGTGATAAAAATAAAATAACCTGATGCGTATAGTTTAATTACACAACCTGTGTCTACGCAAGGTATGAATTACGGCGTATTAATCTCTCAATTAAAAGCGACTTAAACCTGGTGACACGTTGAGCTTGATAATTAACCTTGGATGAAATTCAACAATACCTTTAGGGTTATTCATTATTTAACATATCTTGTGAGTGTCGCCTCTATGAATCCGTTTGCTAATTTTGTAAATTACATTTTTTTTACATGTACTTTTGAGCTAGTACAGTCTTAGAAAATAACATAATATTCATATTGAAACATAGATGTCATCCATGGATTGTTAGTAGCACATGATGTAATGCAATGAATGGTGTACTTTTATTAAAGTTTTATGTAGTGCTATGTAGTAGCAACAAAATGCTTGTTAGAGGTTCAAACTTTATCATTTTCATTTTGGCAAATAGAGACTGTTAAACACCACTATATTATATTACTTACCGGAAATGTATTCCTTTAAAATACTTGTTCTTTAAAAAAAAAGAACAGTGCATTGCTTAACATTCACATTACGCCTGTATTACTAGAACTTTCACAATATATTTCTTATAAACACTATTTAATAAATTATTTTATCATAAGTAAAGTAACACTTAATTTAAAACTGACCAGACTTTTCCTATTTAAACGTAGGTCTATATGTTATTTTCCATCTGAAAAGGTTATCAGTCCATAAATAAGCAATTACCTTTTTAAAACAGTTAAACAGCTATGAAATAGTGGCTTCAAATCGAGTTTTCTATTTTAATCTTTCAAAGTAGCCAATGTACATAAATATACCAAGTTACTGCCATAAAGTCCTCGTGCACAGTTGAAGTAGGTCACAACACTATAAACATGTGCCAAACATAACTCGAGATGGAAAACATGATTTAACTTTACAATACGTAGGCTAGAGCCTGATTTATTCATATTTGTCCTCATTTATTTAGTGAACTTTTTTGTAATGCATTGAATATCATTATACAGTCAATTTTGCTGTACAAGTTTTAATTAACCTTCCAAATTACTTTAAAGCAGTTTTTTTTATCCAAATTAAACATATGAGAAATGAGCGTATATTACTACAACTTGGATTCATTACGCTATAGGATGGGTAAATAAATGCATAGCTATTGACGGTATTCTTGAACTTCAGTATTACAAGTAAACACCAGTACGTTTGTAGACTAATTGTGATATATTCTTTCTAATCCATTTTGAGGGTCTGGAGTAGTGTGCAATTGAAGTTATTATTTGTTATAGCTTATAAAATAACTTGAACTTTCATGATAACATAAAGTGTTTGAACTCTAAGAATTTTTAATATGAAAATACTGTATTCCAAACTTATTAATTTATTAAGAATAGAAGTTAAATTGAAATCCACCTACATTTCTGATAATTTATGTTAATATAATTATTTACGATGATATTTAAATTAACTGTCAAATACTACAATCGTAGTATTAAAAAAAAATCTCTGGTAATTGAGATACTCAGTTGTGTCTAATAGTGTCTGTCTACCGCAATAAAAATTGAAACGTTTAAACATCGAACAAAGGAATTGTTTATAAAATTCTACAAATATGTTTCGTTAAAAGTACACCATTGATGTTTTACAACATGTACCCTACTCTTAGCTAGACATGAATAACATTTGTTTTATGAGATAAAAATTTAAGTTAGAGGATGAAGCTTTATGGAGAGGTGTGAGGATTCGGCGATCTTAGAAAGCTACGCTCTTCTTAGAAAATTACTTCATCTGTCAAAACGTGTCTGCTCCATCCATATTAAATATGTTTAAAACATCTAGTCTCCACAATTTCAAATAACTGTGTTTATAAAGCAAACAATATTGTAAAAGCTAAATAATTATTATTTTTTATAGACTCCCCAAATTGCACAAGTTTTTCCAAATATTTTGTAGATTAAGATTTTGGAGTTGGATTTAGTTTTAGTTATTAATTTTGAGTAGTTTTTCCCTTGTGTACAATTTCACAACTTTAATCCCGATTCAATGAAATGAATATATCTTAAAATATACGATAGACTATGAGTAAAATACGTTTTCAAATTCAGTCCTATATCCAATTTAATTTCCCAGTAACATTTTACTAGTTAACAGATTATTAAGCACAACATACTCCATAGTGGAGTGCCACTTGTAACGCCATTAGCAGGGTAACAGCCTGGAGGACTCTCGTCACCGTTGTCACTGTTACTGTTCAATGGGAATGTCCCTGTTACGCTACAAACAGTAGGTTACGGGTTTTTTTACAATACCAATGCTTCAGTGACTAGTGCAAATTGAAAGTAATCGAAGTAAGTTTCTCAGGTAACACAACTATTGTACAGTATTACTTTTCTATGAATTAAAACTTGGGTTTGTTACATGGCTTCTGCATGGTTCCTTTAAATTGATTTGCTATTGTTTTACTTATTGAATTAAATTAAAACTTTGTGATGAGGATTGACTAAGAAAGTACAAACTTATATGTTTAGCCTCCTTTTAACTGTCCATGTCCGTACATGAGAAAGGTCCTATAAAATATATTTAAACAACTTTAAAAATATATATACTATTTTGTAAATGAAAGTCGCTAAATGGGAAAAACGACGGTTGGAACGGTTAGGATTTTTTCTTCTATTGGCAAGTCATGGTCAATGCAATATTCAAAAAAAGTAAAACTTTTGTGCATTTTAAATTAAACACTGGCTCATTTTCGTTGGTAAAAATATGATTGTTAATTAATCTTTAGAGTAATATACTTATAAAATCTCCATTTTCCCAATTTTATAAGATAAACTATTTTCACTTCGTCCAAAGGTAGTTGTCAATCTTTAAATTTAAGTTTCCAATGTGATTTAGATGGTCTATAACTATCAAAAACCACAAATCCTTAAATAATAGATTAGTTTCAATTTAGTACACTACGGATTTTAAAACTATTTTTGAAAGGAAACTATGAATATAAAATATATATTTTACAATGCATGAATGGCCATTCAATTTTCTACCTCTCACGTATGCCATGATTATATAGCTAATATAAATTGTATCTATCTCATTTTAGTTAGGCGTCTAGAAATTCCATTTTATAAATAACATACCTCCCAACACCTCGGTACAAATACCTTAGATAGCAACACTTTCCTAAGGAGCCACTTTACCTGTCGGATTTTGTCTTCTCAGAAAATATGTTTTAAACTTGTTTCTCCACAATACTTTAGACTGCTGGTATTTATAAAGCAAACCATATTATTGAGGTGCATCTTTATACACTTTTCGTGGTAGATGTAATAAATTGCATGTAATAAAATGATAATGTTTATTTATTAGAAAATAAATAAGGGGTACTAAATTTTACACCTTTAGGAAATACTCAAAATTCTTTATAAAACTATTGTTTACGATATTAAAATAATGTATGAATATAAACAATTTTCAACTAGGCGGTAATTACATTTGCATTGCTTCTTATTTTATTTTAAATTAGGATTGTTTGTAATTTGGAACATAATCTAGGTAGGACACTGAATGCATGAACCATGAACTTTGACCACATGAGTTTAATTCATAATCTCATAAATTGTCAGTAGTTTTACCAGTCAAAAATCAATTTTGCACTATGAAGCACATTCTTCCTAAAATAAAATCTACTTTATTCTAAGATTAAAACTACCTTGTAAATAAAACCTGTAAGATCTTTTTCCAATGAGGAAGCAAATGATAAGTCGTTAAACGGCAATGCCACGTCAGCCTCGAAAAGCAATTACTCGAGACTGATGAACGTAAAACTCTCCTCCCAAGTTGTAAAGCCTTGTCAAGATCTTTACTCTCCTTCTTTACTTTTGTTTCTATGTTTAATAGCAATCTAAATACTATAAATGCATTAAAAGCTTAAAGTGATTGATTTGAATCATACATCTTAATGATCATCAAGTTTAGCCAAAATCCATCGAATTTCGGGAAAAATCTAATGGAAATTGAATATTTAGGAAACGTAAGATACAGTTTAGTCTCACCAAACCTGGAAACTAAGACATTTTCTTGTCATTTTATTACAATCCTATACATTTTGATATCTAAATAGGCATTTCTTATTCGTTACATTTTTAAACCCCTTATACATTTTTTTAACCGATGACAGTTTTTGTATTTCAAAGCCCGTGATGACCAGAAAGATACAATATTGCTGCTGTCCGGTCTCGATTCAACGATGACTAGCTTATCAGTCAAAGATTGCGCAATTCAAGCTGAATTAAGGCATTGATCGTAAATAGATCACTCCAAAACACATTTTTGGATAACTTTACACTGTCTAGCCAGTGTCCGAGCACAATCTCTTGGAGCATTGTCTCAGCAACGTGCTCAGGTCTCTGTTTTTCGCAGCAGTGATTTTAGTAATAATAATCCTCGAATGTGTGCTTGACTGGTAAATTTTTTTTAAGCTTTACCTTTTAGCGATATCCTTTCGGAACAGCACTTTCCGGAGAAAATCCCCTTGAAACAACGCCCAAAAACACACCCAACTAAAAAAAAATAAAGTTAAATTAAATAAGCTAAAAAATTTAAGCAAAATTTTGCACCTGTGATCTGTTCCTAAGTTTTGCATACTAACTATAGACCAAAACCTTAAATAATAGAAACTTATTTGTTACACCCACCTCATAGCATGAATGCTACAAAATCTGTACGGGCTACAAAATCAGTAGGCTATTGTGAAACCCTTTGA